TCTGGGTTTCTGGAAGCTCTTGTGAGAATCTCATGGGTTTTGTTTTAAAGGTTTGAGCTTTTTTATCTTCAAAACCCAGTTTTTATTTGCAAAGCTGAAGAAAAGGGATTTGGGTAATTTGGTGAGAAAGTAAGAAAAGATTTATAGAAGATGGTTGCAAGAACCCCACAAAAGCAGAGGAAAGTGGCGATAGTGGTGCCTTCTCTCAACTCAGATCTTCTCAAAGAAACAATTAACAAGGTAATTGGTCCAGTTAAATTACACAATTAGCATATAAAGTTTATAACTTTATACAATTTTCTTAACAAGTTTTGCAAACGCTCCTCCAGTTCTCAGGCTCCTTCCCATTATGTTTAAAGCTTTACTTTAATTAGTACAATAATTGAAACCACTGCAAATAAAATTGTCTATTTTCTGGCCCCAACTTAAAAAGATATTTCTTTTGATGGATTATATAAGTAATGGAGTTTCATTTTCAAGATGAGCTTATGCTAGTTTCCACCATTGATGGGAATCTTCTTGATATCTTGGAAATTTAGTGGGACAATTTGATTAGGCTTTCAAATTAGATTATCTTGGAAAAATATAACATTTGAGGTCGTTTTATCTGATTTTAATCAATTTTGGTAATTATATGTGAAGGTTGACAAATGTATGGAAAGACTGCAAGAGCTACAGTACACAATAGCAGGAGGAACCAAAGTTGTCTCCGGTGTGAGTCTTAGCCCAAGGAGCACTAGAACTTACTTGAAGACTAGTCTTAGATGCAAGCAAGAAACTTTAAGGTAAATCCAAAAGAAACAAAACCGAATGTTTTACTTATAGAATCATTGATTTTGATCCAAATTCAGAAGTTTCTCCTTTTTATTCATTGTTGTAGGATTAAGAATGCTACTAATAAGAAATCTCCAGTAGGAAAGTATCCAGCTTCCTCACCAGGTAAATCTCTATTCTCTCTCTCTCACACACACAAGCATTAAGCAAAGAGGTCACTGCAACAGGATAGTTGATTGTGTTTTGTAATGTTGGAGAATCTATGAGTAGTTTTCTTCTCTTCTTTGGTGGATTCTTGGATCAAAAGTTCATGTATTTCACCTAGTTGTTCCTAGTTTCTGCAGATTGCGTGCAATGTATAATCTTTTTGGTCTAATGCAGGAGACTGGAGGAAAATGTCACTCCCAGCAATGCTACTAGGAGAGACAGTAAACGAAATCTTACAAGCCTCACAGGTCACAAGAGACATTGTAGATGCCCTAGCACCAAAGAAGAGTAGAAAGTCCAGGAGATCAACAATGCCAGAAGAAAAGGAAGGTCCTAAAACTCCCGAGACTCTGCGAAAACATTGGGAATCGAACCCTGAAACTGTCAGCAGCAATATCAAAGCGAGAAGCAAGAGAGAGAAGCAGAACAAACGAACAGAATCCGATTCTCCTCCTTCTATACAAAGGGCTCGTTCAAGAATCGTGTTCAAGATTGTCTCTCCACAGAAATTAGGAGAGAAGGATCAAGTAAAGGAAAATGGTGAGAATAGTTTCCGGCATTTGGCTAACAGGGTTTCGCCAAAGCACAAACCTTGGGTTAAAAAGGCGGTTCTTTTCCCGAATCCTCTGTTTATTTCTGGTACCTCTACACAACAAGCTACGTTCAGTAGAACAATGTCTCCGGTCATAGCCAGAAATGATCCAACCAGCAGCAAGAACAGTAAAGAGACTCCACACAAGTTCTTGATCAAATCTCCTCCCACATCAGCATCGAAGTTTCAGGTCAAGATCAAGAGCCCGCCTAAGATCTCTGTTTCTCCTACAAGAAATCGAAGCAGCATGGCTCGGAAGTCTCCTATAAGCTCCACTTCTCCAACAAGAAATGTTACCTTGGGAAAGAAGTCGCCTACATCGTCGATATCTCCTATTAGAAACTTGAGAAAGAAGTCTCCTAAGCTATCAACCGCTGCAAAGCTCAGAAGATCATTCACTCCTACGAGGAATGGCAGTAAATTGGCCATTTCTCCGAAAAGAGTCACGCTTGAAGCATTTATTTCTCCGTCAAGAAACCTTAATTTGGGTAAGAAATCACCCAAAGCTTTGATTTCTCCGACTAGGGTGGGGAATAATAAGACACAGAAGCAATCTACTGCTGCAAAGCTAAGGAGGTCATTTTCGCCGTCAAGACTAGCAATGAGGCTGGTGTCTCCAATGAAGAGCAGGAAAAGTGTTGGAAAGTGTGATGATTATGAAATGGGGATGATGGTAAGTGGGCTGAAACAGCGTCCGGTTATGGTTCCTAAGAGATTCTCGATGGGGAGAATCTAATGAGACAGAGTTTGCAATGAAATAAGATATTCTTTGAGTTTTTTTTTATGTGTTTTTGTATTTGTTTATAAGTTTATTATTCTTTAAGATGTTTCATCGTCAAGAATTAAAATTCAGCTACTAATTAGGCAACTACTTCCTTTTGCTTTAAGTCCTCACTTCTCAGTTTGATCTCTTTGCCTTTTCATGACAAAGAAAAGCATTAACACACTTATTGAGCCATATACTACAAGTTACTTTCCCTCAAAGCAAAGAATCTAAAGTAACAAAAAAAGTTTCAACTTTGCTTCTCCCCTTCCATCTACACTCCTTTTGCTACCTCAACCAGAGAGATGATCTAAATCTCTCTCAAATATATCGGCTTCAACACAAGAATGGAAACTTCTAGAAACTCACCCAACTCATCATCACTCTTCCAATGGTTAGGTCTTATAGAAGATTCTGATCTTCAGCCTCCTGATTCCACCCCTCCTCGAGTCATCACCCTTCTTGCTTCTGTTCTTGAGAAGATGATTGAAAAGAACGAGAAACCATTCCACAGAAGACATAACAAGTTTCGTTTTTTCAATTTCTAAAACCGAGATTTCTTTTGTTTCGTAATTTCTCTATCATCCGTTCTCAGATTTCAATCTCATGGTAACAGGAACGATGAGATCACTATGTTCCATGGCTCAAGAGCACCATCCATGTCCATTCATCGTTACATAGAGAGAATCCATAGGTACGCTCAGTGTAGCCCTGCGTGCTTCGTTGCAGCCTTTGCTTACATCCTTAGGTATCTACAGAGACCAGTGGCTACAAACACAACTCGTCGTCTCACATCACTCAACGTTCATCGCATTCTTATCACCAGTCTCTTACTCGCAGCCAAATTCTTGGACCGCAAGTAAGTATCTTGACCTAAAATCTCTCCTACTCTTAGTTGATGATTGTAACTAGAGTTTGATCTCTTGTTTAGGTGTTATAACAATGCGTATTATGCGAAAATCGGAGGAGTGAGCACTGAAGAGATGAATAGGCTTGAGAGAAATTTCTTGTTCGATATTGATTTCAGATTAAATATTACAACAGAGAATTTCGAGAAACATTGTCTCATGTTGCAGAGAGAAACGGTGCCTTGTGATTCAAGAAAACTTAGAACAGTTCTTGGTGAGTTAGCTTGTAGCTGCCAAGCGATTTAATTAAAAATCTTAACCAAGAAAAATAAATAACATTGCTTAAATTTTTCTTTTTCTCCACACTTTTGTTTCAAATTAATGTGTTTTCTCATGATTATTTGAAGAAACAGAGGAATAAAAAAGGAAACGAACAAGAACTAAAATATTATAAATGGAAGTTTGAAATCAAAACATTATTTTCTCATTGAACAAGTCATCTTTGTGCAACAGTTTAAACAATCTCTTTGATAAACTTCAAGAAAACAATGAATCATAATCAAGTGATATCGATTGTATGTTTTCTCTAACGGGCCACTCCAAATAAAAATCTTTGACTTACATGAGAAAATACATAACCTCGTGCTCAATATCCCTTTGTAAGGGAGTCGGTCCGGAGATTACCACTACGTGGAATATGATTTAAATGAAAATATACAAAAAACCGTCTTACTACAGTGAACCAGTCAAACTACGCATTGAGAGATGGTCTGTAATGGATG